CTCTCCGAGCGAACAACAGTCGCCGGCGCCGCCGCAGGTGAATCCCCTTCCGCGGTCGGGAGCGCCGGGAGGCCGAGTCGGTCGAGGACGCGGAGGAGGAGGCCCTGTTGGCCTCCGGGGAGTCACCGGCGATGTGGGCGGCCCCGTCCATCGAAAGGGGGCCCGCTGGAGTTGAAGCCCTGCCGCTGGACCTCCTCCCGCGCCTTGTAGATCGCCTCCATGTCGTCCCCAAAACATAATCCAACCCCTACCTCGCCTCCTCGACCGGATCTGGCCAGAGATTGCCGCCGCCGCGCCCAACATCGTCTGCATCGCAGCCCCATCTCGCTCGGAACCGGCGAGGAACGCCGCTGCCATGTACTTGGAGTTGAAGCTCCGCCGCTGGACCTGCTCCCGCGCCTCCTAGATCGCCTCGGCCTCGCCTCCTCGACCAGATCGCCTCGGCCTCGCCTCCTCGACCGGATCGCCTCGGCCTCGCCTCCTCGACCGGATCTCGCCGGAGATCGCAGCCCCCGCGCCGGGCATCGTCTGTATCGCGGCCAGCCTCAACCTCCAGCTCGTCTCGCTCGCCAGCAATTGAATAACAAAACGCAGGGTCCTTTTTGTAAGAACAACGTATATCATATATCCACTTAAAAAGGGACTGCGGGTTGAATACCAGAAACAATAGGGACTATTTTGCAAAATCGCTAGCGACGACGGACGACGGAAACCCAATTTTCTTTATTATTAGGTAAAGATAAAGAAATACTTTGTATTTTGCAAATACAACTAAAATCCAAATTTAAGTACCATATTCTATTATCATGCATGTACTCGTACTCTGTTCGGCAGAGTTTTACATCATCCCCACCAGGTACGTACTTGTAGTACCAAGTCCATGTCCAACACGTAGGTGTACTAGTACATTTGGTTCAAATTTAGGTGTGGCAGCTGCCAGGCCTTGCCAGATAGCTGGCTCCGCCACTGTTTGCTGTAAGGGTGCATTGTGCTGTGAGTTAAACTGGATCGAGAGTCTAACACCCAACATCTTGATGCTAGGAAATTTCATACCCTAAAAAAAGAACTACGAAAACCATTTTTTTAGATTTTTTTTCAAAGTTTCTTCATTCGATCGGTAGGCACCAAACGTCAAACGACGTATACACCGACCCGAACCCGCCTCGTGAGGCCCACGAACACGGCCCTATCGATCAGTGACGCACGCACGCACCACTTTCGTCGAAATCGTCAGACGGGACAGCGCGAGAACTGCAGAGAGAGGAAAAAAAGGAAGAGGAAAAAGGAGAAACCCGGAGGCCGGAATCCCAATCGATCGAAGGAAGCAGAGCTGGGGGATCGCAGCGGCGGCGGCGGCGGGGGGAAGAGCCGGAGGGGAGCCGTGGAGCGATCAGGGGGGCATCTGCGCCCGATGTGGGCGTGGGGCCTCGCCGAGCGCGCCGTCGCCGGCCTCCTCGGCCCCGCCGGCGCGAATGGCGGTCGCTGGAACACCGCCGTCGCCGTCGGGGTCACGGCCGCGGCCGGCATCGCGCTAGTCGCCATCGTCGTCTCCTCCCGCAGGTTGGCCACCGCCAGACCCAAACCCTCCCCCCCTTCTGCCAAAGGTGGTCCTGTGCTTCGTCCCCTTAGTTGCATATGCGCGCTCTGGATGCAGGGGCGGGATCAAATCGCCGTGGCGGCGGCGGAGGAAGCCCGCGCTTGGGCCCAAGGAATGGCGTAGCTTGTTCACGCCGGAGGGGAAGTTCTACGACGGTGGCGTCAAGCTACTGAAGAGAGTTCGGAACGGAGTAAGATATAGTGAAGCTTAGTTTGTTTGTTACAGTGTTTCCTTGCTATCTTGTGAGTTCCTGATGTAGCTTACAAAGTCATTATATTGAGCTGTCTGCTTTCGTGACAGGGGGTTGAGCCGAGCATCAGAGCAGAGGTCTGGCCGTTCCTTCTTGGAGTGTAAGTACTCTAGACATTGTGATCCGAGGACAGATTTAGCTATGCTTGCAGATGTATACTTAGATCCACGAGATACTTGCACATGAGGAACTCATGCTAACATCGTTTTGTATTTTTAGCAACAGATTCTGTTGATGTTCCTTTTTTTACATGATTCATCTTTTCTGCATTTGAGTGAGGCTTTATACTTTATAATTAACTGTTTCAGTTTTGGGACTTGAACAGAACATAGATAGGGCCAACTTAAGAGAGGCATACTCACTTTTGTCCTTTTTGTTAGTATGTAAATGTGGAAATTAGTGTTTTCCACAGGATTTTCCCAGGCTACCTGCCCCCCGCTCCTGTTCATTTGTAGTATCAAAACTATTGCGTGCAGTTTTAGATTGATTCTAAACTAAGTAGATGAAGGAAAACTTACGAATACACCAATTTTGCACATAGTTCAGCCTTCTCTGGTAGGCACAGTAAGAGATACATCGTGGAAATTTTATGTACTTAGTCACATGTGCGTTTTTTTTGGGGTAGTCAGAGTGTTTACCTCGAGTAATTGGAATTTTTGACTCTCGTGCAGTTATAGCCTGAATAGTTCAGAAGCTGAAAGGGAAGCAATTAAGGCCCATAACAGGTACACCATTTTTTCAACCATCTATGTTTCATGACTACAGTCCATGGTTGCCCACAGTCTCACTATAGTTTTCTTTACCACTACAGAAATACATTGCTCCTTAATTAAGGAACACTTAAGTGTTTGCAAATGTTATTTTCATGGGGTCTAGTGTAAAACATGACAATGTTGGATGATTTATGTAGGAAGGGATATCTGCTCTTGAGGAAACATTGCCTGCGAAAAAACAATAAAGAAAGCAAGCGATCAGTCAATCACAAAGAGAGCATTAGTTCAGGCAAAGTCAAAGAATCTGTTACTTCTGTTGGATCTGGAGAACCTGAAAAAGTAAGTGTGGATGATCATATCACGAGTGAGGAAGAAAATCCTTGTGTCATTTTAGAGCAAGAAATGCAGGATAAGACAGGTAAAGCAATTCCAGAGAATCAGGCGGATGAAAGCCTCTGTTCATCTAGTTCACGTGATGAGGATGAGAGTGAGAAAAGTGATGTGACCGATGTGGAAGCATCCCGTGATGATGTCGCCTCTGTGGACCAGTCTTCAGTTGAGGATGAAGAAGAAAGTATGCCCCTGCCCAAATATTCAAACACAGGAGGAAATATAGAAACTGAAACTAAGTTATCTAAGATTGCCCGTCCTGTGAAGTCTGCACGGACAGTTGAGGATTTTGAGACATGGCAGCGGATAATTCGTTTGGATGCAGTTCGTGCTAATAATGAATGGGTTTCCTACTCTCCATCGCAAGCTGCGGTTACCAGAGAGAAGGCAATTGAATCTGCTTCAGCTGTTTGTCTCAAAGACTATGAGCACTTGGAAGCACATAGGATCCATCATGCGTCACGTCTTGTTGCAATACTTGAGGCGTACGCAACCTATGACCCAGAAATCGGTTATTGCCAGGGCATGAGTGACCTCCTTGCACCTCTCCTTGCTGTGCTGGAGGAAGACGATGAAGCCTTCTGGTGCTTTGCCGGTTTCATGAGGAAAGCCCGCCACAACTTCAGACTCGATGAAGTGGGTATTCGCAGGCAACTCAACATGGTCTCCAAGATAATAAAAACCAAGGACTTCCATCTTTACAGGCACTTGGAGATGCTTGAAGCTGCAGACTGCTTCTTCGTCTATAGAATGGTGGTTGTGATGTTCCGGAGGGAGCTCACCTTCGAGCAGACCCTCAGCCTGTGGGAGGCGATGTGGGCCCATCAGGCAGCGAGGCGGGCTGGGATCACAAGATCATCCTGGAGAAAACTTCAGCTTGGAGCCCCTCCAACTGATGACCTGCTGCTGTATGCAATTGCAGCCAGTGTACTGGAGAAGAGGAAATTGATAATAGAGAGCTATAGCAGCATGGATGAGATCATTAGGGACTGTAACAGCATGGCCGGGCAGCTGGACATTTGGAAGCTCCTGGACGACGCCCATGATTTAGTGGTGACCGTACAAGACAGGATCGAGTAGCTGGGATCTGCCCATGCTTATATCTGTATGATTGGTCCTGGCAGTTATCACGTTATCATATGTCTGTTATATACAATATCTTGTATGCGGTTATGGATAGAAACATTTTTGGTCTTGTTTTCTGGTGTGCCCTCTCTCTGCATGTGACTGTTCTTTGCACAGAGCAGATTATCTTGTCATCTGTTGCTACTTCTTGGACTGTGGATGCTGGATACAATTTGGTCTTGCAGTGTATTTGTAACTAGAAAAAAGCCTTGTGCCTGAAGGGTAGTGTGGAGGGAAATATATCTCAATGCCCTTCGGTTTTCGCCCGGTTTTCCGTTAATTAACTGGGCAACTCTCTTCTTTTTAATTAATTGATGAGACAAATCTTTTGCCTTCGTTTCAAAAAAAAAATATCTCAATGCCCTGAAAGACGTTTAGTTCAGTTGTTGCAGCCGGTGTATTCAGGAAGGGATTCTGCCTTCATAAAATAAACTTGGAATTTCCGATAATCGAATTGATCAACTGGCCCACGCCGTCACTTGCATGCTTAATAAGTGCTGCTTAACTCTTTTAGGCGTGTATAACTGCAAGAATATGGTCAAATACAGTGAAACCGACAGACAAATTACTATGTGGGAACATCACTGCAATGTATGATGTCCATATTTATTCTGAAATTGAGATTGTTAATAGCATAGCAATGTTCCCATCATCCTCAATTGTAGACACTCCATCGGCTAAAAAAATATGTAGAGACTCCATATGTTGAGAATGTAAACATAATTCGAGTAATCTGAGCATACATATAGATGTTTGGAACTGAGAGTGCCTTGTATGATCAATGAGACAACACACTGCCACCCAACGAATACCATCATTATGTTGTTCTAACTCAAACCAGCCAACCAATACCATTATTATGTTGTTCTAACTCAAACCATATTACTTGAAAGCTATTTCTCCGAAGCAACTCGCCAACAACAGCCTACTCAGATTTGCTGTAGTGCCGGACACCAAATGCAAGCCCCAAGATTAAAATGGGAACAAGAAACTGCAGGATCTTGATGAGGAGGTCGCTATCCTTGGCCTGGACATGGGACCCTTGCTGAGGAGGTACAAATGTACGCTTTGCTGGGATGGTTGAAGCATCAATCTCCCCGATGTGGTACTTCTCCATCATCTCCCTTGCGGAATCACTGTGTCCGATATCTTCGAAATCGCTGGTTGCATCTTTCCCTGGTTATATTGGAGAGTAGTGATCAGGTTTGAATATTAAAATCAAAATTGCGCAAGACTTTTGAACTTAGTCTCATCCACAATTATAAAATGACTCACCGGTTACTGCCAGCAGTACCTCATCTCCACCAGGATGCTCATCCATGAAAGGGGTGACATCATACACCTGAAATGTTACACAACATGAGCTGATATAGTCAGGCATATTTTGCAGCACATGTAACAGGAATTTCGTTAGGTAAATTTCTCAATTCCTGCTGGGTATTTTCTTTTACTCCAACGGAATCTAATCCACTGGGTGCAGAGAAAACTCTAGACCGTATGGCCATGGCCATACATGCCACACTGGAACATTCAAGGCCACACAATTTAAATGGTACCAACAAACATATCGCCACACATACTGCAGGGACACCATTTTGGTGGGGCTACCCAGCATCAACCACGTCCATGTGAATCAATCGCCCTGATACATCTTAATTGACTCATTTCCTTCCACCATGACTAGTTAATATGCACATTTGCAGAAGAGGAAGCAGCTTTGGTACACCGTCTCCCGACGCTTGTACTTGATCCTATGAAAGAGCTGTCTAGTTGATAAGATTTTGCTGGAATACCTTTCCCTCAGCACCTCGTCAAGAATGAAATCCTGATACGCGATACACAAAGCGGATCTTGTACGAGTCGACCAATCTATGTAGTACAATATTGCAGAAGGTGCATGTAACAGCATGGAGTGCACCAAAGGCTAGAAGGCTGTAACTGGTCTGGAATTGGAACACAAGCTTAAAACAAATCACTTGCTATTTGTCCTCATAGGACTATGTGTTTGGTCAGAGAACATCTCTGTTGACGAAGTATCAGCAGCTGAACAGATCTGATTGGGCGGAATTGACTTGAGCAAGCTCAACAAGAATACTCGAATTCCACGAGCCCAGCAGACTCAATTCTTCCTCGTGAAGAAGCCTAGCATCTAGAAGTACTATCTAGCTGACTAGCTCAACAGGCTGTGCCGGAACAAGAAAACTAGCCACAGAACTCGCAGGAGAAGTAGATGCTAGGGTAGGAAAACGAAGGAGTGGGGAAGCGCACCTTGCCGGCGATGACGAGCCAGCAGTCCTTGGCGACGTTGTGCTTGGCGACCTCCTCGAAGCCGAACATCCTCTTCTCGCCGGCCATGGCTCGCAACACACGCGCCCACGCTGCTCCGAGGGGAGAGGCCAAGAATTCCACACCACCAAATAAAAACAAAAAATCAGTCCTCCTTGTGCACCTAGATCCACGACACGTCGTCGGGAGAAAAGCGGTTGGGGCGCTGTTGGTTGGCCGTCGGGTCGCTCTCACTCACCTGGGGCTGGGAGTGGCCGCGAGGCGAGAAGTCGCCGGTGAGGGGGACGGGCCGACGGAGTGACGCACGCACCGAGACCGAGAGAGAAGGAAGCGAGGAGGAAATGGATCACGCGCTTTGGACAGGGCCCCCGCTCCGCGTGCGTGCGTGCGTGCGCGGTGGCGCCGGAGTCTGCTGTATTTGAGCCCGGCGCGTCCGGCCCTTCCCGCATCCCTTCGCGGCCGTGTTTCCCAAATTGCCCCTCGCGAGGCGGCCGTGGGCCGGACCCTGCCGGGCCGTTTCCTCCCTTGGGGGGGACTTCAACCCTCGGCCCCTCGGCCCGTTGGCACGTCAGCTTGCGGAGTCGCGCCCGCCCGCCTCGGCCTCGGCGATCGCTACCCCTTTCCGTTTGCCCAGTCGTACGCGACCGAGTGGCGCGAGAGGAGACACGAGAGGAGTGCCCCGGTGAGACGCTCGCGCCGCGCCTCCGCCCCCAGATCGTGGACCCGACGCCGATCGGTTCCTGCCATGGAGCAGCCCACGCGGCCCGTACCCGCGGACGGCGGGGAATTCCCCGACGGCGCGGGCGACAGGGCGCCGGTGGAGGTGGAGGACGAGGCGGGGGAGGAAGAGGAGGAGCCGCCGCGATCGGCGACGGCGAAGCAGGAGGAGGCAAAGGCGGCGCTGGGCGCCGAGGGGTCCCAGCCGTTCACCACGCGGGAGCTCGTCGGTGAGATCAAGGAGGACGGCGAGGCGGACGGGGGCGGAGGCGTTGGGGATGGGGACGGGGTCGGATCCGCCGATGCTGAGGGTTCTTCGTCCAGGTTCGTGCAGACGCGCGTCGGTCCTTGTGCCATGATCGTCACTCCATTCAGTACTGCATATCGCCGGGACTTGGTTAGGCTGTTTGCCTTGGGTCGTCCTAGTACCAAGCCATTTGGATAATGGAATCCAAATATGTTGTTTGATCGCTTCACGTTGGGGCCCATGCCATCTATGTGAATCGTGCATTCGAGTCGTTGCTTTGTTCTGGTGGTTAGCTGCTGAAATAGTACTACATATTACTGATCAGCTATTCTAGTGTCATTTCGTGTTTCTTATCAGGGTAGCGGCAATTGGCATGCAATTTTACTGCAATTCTGCAACATCATAGGTGTTGATATTGTGTTGTCCTGTCTAAAAAATGAACGATACAAGTATATTCCATTTTCCATTTGTATTGGCAGAGGAGTGTTTCATCAGACGCTGAACAAGCTGTTTTGCATCATGTGGCCAAATTGCAACTGTTCTGTTAATCGATTATACCGTTACAAATGAACTGTTTACTGTTTTTTTTTCTCTTTACTAACGAAAATTCTGCAAGAATGCTCTTAGTGATAACTGTTCTGTTAATTCTTTTCAATCCTTTCCAGCCGAGATAGCATGCAGCAGTTTTCATCCCATCATGATGTAGCCATGGAATTAATAAATAGTGTCACTGGAGTGGACGAGGAAGGTCGTTCTCGCCAAAGGATTCTTGCTTTTGCTGGAAAAAGGTTTGCTCACCTAGTTACCTT